AGTTACATTTTTTACTCGGTAACGAGTAACTGTAACTAGTTACTTTTAAAAAGTAACTTTCCAATTAAAAACAAACGACGTTTCGACATTTATTGTCATCGTCTTTTAAACTGTTTCGCTTTTGGGTTCGTAGCCCTTCTCATTTTACTATTATTTAATTTACTCTTTAATTTTTTTAAACACAATTTTGTAATTCTAAAACCTCTAAAATATTCAGCAAACTGAAATATTTGTATATCCTATGTATTACATAGAAGATAAAAGTGTAAAATAATTACTGAATCATGACGGCCGAATGTCTAAGAGCTTTCAAGTCTTATTGATAAGCGCTATAAATAGCATGTATCCAATCGAACCGTGTTCAATCGTGTGCAAAGTAACGACAAAAGTAACTGTAAATTTCGTTACCGTTACCCAAAAAATGTAACTCGTTACCGTTACAGTTACCAAAAAAAGAAAGTAACGCAGTTACCAGTAAAGTTACCAAAAAAGTAACTTGTAACTGTAACTTTGTTACAAGTAACGAGTTACTTCCATTCCCTGAATAAATGTATGTATACCGGGTGGTCCACTTAAATCCTACACACACATCTTGAATATTTCGTTTATTTTTGACAATACGAAAAAATGTTTCAAATAAAAATGGAACGGTGTCAAGGGGGACACGTTTTAGTCACATTGTTTTTTTTCTAAGTGGAGGCGCTAAAAAGATATGAAGGTCACCTTCACTTTTTTAAATGGAATTATGTAATTTTTTTTAGATAACGTGATTCCTCTAATTATTTTGCATATAAAAGTATTAAGGCAGAAATACCAAAAAACCAATAGTTTTCGAAATATTTTACACTTTATTTTGATACATATTGACACAAAATGTTAAATAACTTGTAAACTGTCGACTTTTTCATTGTCGTACCTTAATACTTTTGTGAACAGAATAATGAGATAAATCAAATGGTGTAAAGAAAACACATAGTTGCTTTAAAAAAAATATGTATACAAAATGGATAATTTTTTAAATACGCAACTATGTGTTTTCTTTACACCATTTGATTTATCTCATTATTCTGTTCACAAAAGTATTAAGGTACGATAATCAAAAAGTCAACAGTTTACGAGTTATTTAACATTTTGTGTCAATATGTATCAAAATAAAGTGTAAAATATTTCGAAAACTATTGTTTTTTTAGGATCTCTACCTTAATACTTTTATATGCAAAATAATTAGAGGAATCACGTTATCTAAAAAAAATTACATAATTCCATTTAAAAAAGTGGAGGTGATCTTCATATCTTTTTAACGCTTCCATTTAGAAAAAAAACAATGTGACTAAAACGTGTACCCCTCGACACCGTTCCATTTTTATATGAAACATTTTTTCGTATTGTCAAAAATAAACGAAATATTCAAGATGTTGTGTGTTGTGTAGGATTTAAGTGGACCATCCGGTATACAGGGTGTTCCAGTAACTCTGTACAAGACAATATCTCCGTTATCATTAATGGTACACGAAAATGTTTAAGGATGGAATTGGTTGGTCGGAGGGAGGCATGTTTTGGTCACCTTATTTTTTGTTTATAGATGGAGGCTCCAAAAAGATATGAAGATCATTTCTACTTTTTCAAATAGAATTGTATAATTTTTGTTACACAATATAATTCCTTTAATTATTCTGCATATAAAAGTATGGTAATTATTCAGAATAGGGGAGGCAGCACAAATAGAATTGATGTAAACCAAGGTGATCAAAACATGTCTCCATCCGAACCAACCAATTTCTTCCTTAGACATTTTTGCATATCATTAACGATAACGGAGATATTGCCTCGTAACAGAGTTACTGGAACACCCTGTATTGGTATATATAGATATATTGTATAAGAAACAAAAATTGTTAAATGTCTTTTCATAGAACTCTAATGTTCTTTATTTTACATATTTATTTCTTTATTATTATTTTTATATTACGCAGATCAAAAAAAAGATTAGATAGAAAAGCAATACTGCTGTTGCAGTTGCAGCAACAAAGTAATTATTTGTTGCGGAAGCAACAGCAGCAGCAACCGCAAGAGCTGCAACAACAGCAGCAGCAGCAACCGCAAGAGCTGCAACAGCAGCAGCAGCAGCAGCAACCGTAAGAGCTGCAACAGTAGCAGCAGCAACCGCAAGAGCTGCAACAGCAGGGCCAAAGAGGTATTTCATATACAGGGTGGGCCAATAACTCTGTCCACCTTGAATATCTCCACTATTTTTGGAGATATGAAAATATTGTTATCACAAAAGTTGTAGAGCATCAAGAGAACTATAACATGTGCTAGTCATAATTTTTTTAGGTGGAGGCGCTTCGGAGATTTCAAGGTCAACTTCATTTTTTTAAATGGAATTATATGAATTTTTTTCACTATATGATTCCTCTAATTATTCTGTACATAAAAGTATTAAGGTAGAGATATAAAAAAACCAATAGTTTACGAGATATTTTACATATTCCTTTGGTGCATATTGACATATAATGTTTAATAACTCGTGAACTATTGACTTTTTGATAATCGTACCTTAATGCTTTTGTGAACAGTATAATGAGGTGAATTAATTGGTGTGAAGATTCTTACGTCAAAAGTGTTCGAAGTGATGTACTTAATTTCTTACAAATTCGTTGAAACGTACGATGTGAAGGATGCATACGATCTGGATACCGTTCAATGTACAATACTTGCGCCCTTATTGAATTTTGCTGAGCTTCTCCATAAATGAGGAGCATATCTACTTGTTCAGCAAATGAAAACTTCATTTTCACATTAACTTGTAACCAAAATCACAGACGAGCTAAACTACATGAAGCTAAACTACATGAACCTTCTGAAAAATCTACTGATACTGAACTTAGAGTAATGTTTGTTTCAGCTCCAAGTTCCACAAATCCCTCTAGACATATTGTACAATTCATAGTAATGTACGTATTCATAGAAATGTACATATTTACATTTTATACCAGGAAGTGCCGACCACACCGGAAAATATGAAGCAACGAATTAATGCAGCATGTGCGACAATCAGTCCGAACATCACTTCGAACACTTTTGACGTAAGAATCTTCACACCAATTAATTCATCTCATTATACTGTTCACAAAAGCATTAAGGTACGATTATCAAAAAGTCAATAGTTCACGAGTTATTAAACATTATATGTCAATATGCACCAAAGGAATATGTAAAATATCTCGTAAACTATTGGTTTTTTTATATCTCTACCTTAATACTTTTATGTACAGAATAATTAGAGGAATCATATAGTGAAAAAATTCATATAATTCCATTTAAAAAAATGAAGTTGACCTTGAAATCTTCGAAGCGCCTCCACCTAAAAAAATTATGACTAGCACATGTTATAGTTCTCTTGATGCCCTACAACTTTTGTGATAACAATATTTTCATATTTCTAAAAATAGCGGAGATATTCAAGGTGGACAGAGTTATTGGCCCACCCTGTATACACTACCGTCAGAAAGTTTAAGATCAAGCGATTTAAATGGTCAGATCAAATTTCATTTTTAGTTCATCGAAGCGGTGGACGCTCCAGAGGCCTTTGGTACGTGCGGAGGACAATTGCAAGCCTCCACCAACTCCGAGATAGAAGAGGAAATGGTAGAATAAGAGGACGAGGGGACAGTAGAAGAGGAAGAGGAGGTAAAGGAAGCATTAATTATAATACAATGCGACCACAATTAATATAAAAAGTTTCCAATAACAAGAATAGTACGGCTAATGAGAGCTATTCGCTGTTATTAGTGCGATAATATATACGATATGTTCAAGAGTGAATATTACATACTACGTAAGTAGTTCCCCCCCGTTGCGCGCCGAACATCCGTCGAACTTAAAACGCAAATCTAATCAACTACCGTAGTAATATCACAATTTTTGATGCTTATAGCATCTAAAATTGAATCTTAATAATATGTTGAAAGACATATTAAATTCTTAAAATTTTAATATTAAAGTAGAAATAAATTAAAATCTATGAAAAATAAGAATTGTGAGGAATATCACAAGTTGGCGTTTCGTCCCGGCTTCCCACTACTAGACTCATCAGTAAGGTAATGTAGTGGGAGCCTACCTTAGACGCCTGGCCCAGACGAGTAACTACAGACCTCTGTTGGCAAGTCGACGTAGTGATATTTTTCACAAATTTCTTTATTTAAATAATAATTCGAAAGTAACAAACGCATCTTGCAGCCAGCGTATATTCAACAAATCAATTAAAGAAAACTCTCGAAAGTTTCCAATAACAAGAATAGTACGGCTAATGAGAACCCTAAATATTCATATATTCAAAAAAATTCATAAAAACACGACGCAGTAATCCGAGCGCAATTCAAATTGTAACAACTTTAACATAATACTCGAACGGATGGACATCTTCAATAAAAAACAAAATGTTCATAACGAAATATTCCAATATTACATTACAGTTTATTACGATAGAAATGTTACGCTCTGATTACTGCTCAGTATTCTCTTTTAATAAGTTTTTCTCTCCTTATTATATTTATAGAATTATTTCTATAGACACTATAAACTCGAAGATAATAAGCGTATAACAAATGTTGTCTATTCCTACAAACACTGAACTCGAAAAAAACGTAAAGAAGGTTTAAAATTGTCATGAAAATATTTTTGACCGCATAAGGTACGCGCAGGATTAAGCTAGGGATAGTCGGTACTTTTCTATTTTGTGCCGGCTGGGTACTCTTTCTATCTTGTAGCGCACGACTTTGCCCGAGCGCGGTGCGTCATAGTTATAGCTATCCCCACCAAGTGGTAGCGTAAGCAAGAATCTAGAAGCTCTGCCGTATTTACCCTCACTCTTCCCCCACCACGCGCTACCAAGTGGTAGCGCAAGCCACAATATGGCAGCTCTGGATATAATTGTTGCATCACCCGTCTTGGACGGACGCGTCTTTGTCGCGTACTTGTTTCCATTATTTTTTTTAAAAAAGTGTTGCTGACTTTGACTGTGCCTTGCGATTACTCAAAATCCGCCTAGCGGTCCCGCGATTTCGGATGTCCCGTTCGTTCGTCCTGACGCGCATATTGGTGGCGTGACGACGTCGTGGACGCAGACGCCCGATGTGCGTACGTGTGTGAAGATAGCACCCCTTTTCAATAAAATGACAATTTTGAAACTTGTTCCAGATTGTTCTCAATTTATTCTATATTGTTCCAAAGTAACATTATCGTATGACAAACGGTTCTCCAATAAAACGGAAAAAAAGATTTTCTATAGTAGCACCCCTTTTTTGAAAAATCGAACAGTTCAACATCGCTACAGATTGTTCTAGTTGTTCCAAACATTGTTCCAAATGGACAATTCCATAAGTTGAACAGAAATCACGAAAATCGAAAAAACATTTTCTTATCCGGCAACCCTTTTTTTTATAATCGAAAGATACAATATCGCTGTAGATTGTTCCAGTTGTTACAAACATTGTTCCAAAAGGACAACCCTCCACCGCTACTGGTTCTTCCAAAAATCGTAAAAACTACGATTTTCGCCGCCGCCATCAAGAGTAAACCTGCACTTCCTTTCTTATTCCAATAGAGTGCTTTTTGTTCTGAGTTGTTCTCGCCCTAAGAAACATTGTTCCAAAAGGACAACCCTCCACCGCTACTGGTTCTTCCAAATATCACAAAAAAGTACGATTTTCGTCGCCACCATCAAGAATAAACCTGCACTTCCTTTCTTGTTCCAATGGAGTGCTTTTTGTTCTGAGTTGTTCTCGCCCTAAGAAACATTGTTCCAAAAGGACAACCCTCCACCGCTACTGGTTCTTCCAAAAATCGCAAAAAGGTACGATTTTCGTCGCCACCATCAAGAGTAAACCTGCACTTCCTTTCTTGTTTCAATGGAGTGCTTTTTGTTCTGAGTTGTTCTGGCCGTAAGAAACCTAGTTCTGCCGTACGAACCGTTTAACGCTATTGATTCTTCCAAAGATCCAAAAAATCTACATTTACTGCTACGAAATTACCGTGGAGTTATTTTTTGTGTATATGGAAGAGTTTTAGAGAGAATGAAAAGGAGAGACAGATACATTGAGAGAGAGAACATATGGTTTCTATAAACTTAGTAGTTTTATTATTATAATAATTTATTTTCTAATAAATTTAAAATTACTGATTTTATAGAAACCATTTTAAATATGATTATCCAACGAGCGTTTTACCATGCCACAATCTGTTTGATGTTGATCAATAAAATTTATATATCTAATATTTATATGATTTTACTTTCCCTTACAATACATTCATACATAGGTTTTGAATAACTGCGTCATGGAGTAAAAATGGCGGCAGTTCGTGGTACTTTGTTATCTAGTGACTTTAAACAGAGATAATTTGTCATTTAGGAGAGTAGGTATATAGAATGTGGCGCCAATTAGCTGGAAGTCGCCATTTCCATTATATATTTCTTATGTCATTTCTGACGTAATTCTTCCTTCTAACCTTTTTTTCTAACGTCCATCTTCTTCTAATTAACGGATTTATCTATAAATAATGGAACCAATCTACATTAGGCATATTCTTTGGCGCCACTTTCTATATATTCCCACTCTATCATTTACCGATAGTGGGCGCCATATTTTAGTTCTGAGTAAAGTCACTAGATTTATAGAGTACCGCAATTCACTTCAGAAATGTTTCGTCAAAATGACCGAAGTGCACATAGTACACGATTTGAAGTACACCAACATACACATTGGGTCACGCAGTGATCCCACGTGTGACGTGTACTTTCGTGTTCCCGAACAGTTCTGGGGATTTATTACGGTTTTTTTGACGGAGTGAAAATTACAAAAGTGATTGAATTTACTTGAATATTTATAACTTCACTGGTTAACATCTAGTAAATTTGCTCATTTTTGTAATTTTCATTTTCGTCACAAATACCGTAATAAGCCCCCTGAACTGTACTTACACGTACCCTTCGTGCACTTTTATGCACAAAACTTCTATAACAAATAAATCCGTATTAAACTAAAGAACATATCAATTTTAAGCATTCCTATATATTCTTTTGATTATAAATAAATAAATTACAACTAAAAAATATTAATTTACATACTCAACGGCTGCATTTTCACAAATAAAGTATGCAAAATTGCTGTACTTTATAAATCTAGTGACTTTAGTTCTGAGTGCACACGTGCATGTATAATGAACAGACTTATTCCGATTTGTCAAATTACCGACAGTTTTGTATCCGTCACGCGTGTTTTTAACAACTGACAAACAAAGCACACGTGTAGGATCTGGTATCATCCAAATGTATTATTTCTTGGAAGCAACAAGTGAAGATATCTCGGTGATTTCCCTTTGCTGCTGTCTGTACACATCGATGTCCCATAGGTAAGGCAATAAGTATCAGAAGAAGAAGTAGAAGATCTCGGTAACTACAATAGAGCCATATATCACCTATTATAATTGAAAACAGTGTTTTCGAACCATTCTGACTTCTTTTCATCTTATCTTATTAATATTTATTATATATAGTAATTGCATTATTCATATTTTCCCGTATATCATATTACAGTAACAATGGCTAAACACGTCGAACGTTTGTTGGACGTCATTCTATCATCAGATTATAGGGACTTATTATACGAACATGGCGAGCCTGTGATACCCAGTAATGAAATATACGCAAAGATAAGTACAGCTTTAAAAATGATATTAAATCAAAATATATTTATATGATGATAAAATATAGATTTAAAATAAATTAATAGAAGACTCAACAAGTATAAAACAAATTGATTAAAAATAAGAGAAAAGAGCCAATAATTTTTTAAAAAAATATATAAATGTAATTAACTCAAAATCGTAATACATTAAAACAAACAGAGTAAAATTCGCAAGTAAGAATTCGCACATACGTTTCGACACCGATCGGGTCATTTGCAATGTTAAATTTAAAATTAAGTGTGCATAATAGAATTAACGAATCAACAATAATAAAATTACATGTGTATAATTATAATAAAATTAACGAGTCACAAATATAAAATTAAATGTGTATAATTGAATAATTAACGAGTCATAAACATAAAATTAAATGTGTATAATTGAATATGGATCTTCCTTAGTGATTAGTTTCGCATGAGTTATATAAATCTATTGACAAAAAAGTATGAATTTAAAAACTTAATTATGAAGAAGTAAATTGTATATATTGTTACCTTAACAAAAATGTAATAAAAAATGTATAGTCCAGTATAAAAATCCAGTATGTTTAGATCCAGTATTGAAATAAAATAAAATAAAATAGTCTAATTTACAGTTATAAAAATCGACTGTACTACTTGAAATAAAAATAAGAAATGAGTAGGCAGAGACCTCAAGAAAGGACAGAGGAAGGGAAAAAATTAAGAGGTGGAAAGAGAATGTATCATGTTAGTATAACAATCTGGCAATGACTCGGTATCATTTTGTTAATTTATGCCATGTGTTTGTTTCTTTATATGAACCATTTCGGATATCAATCTTTCCTTATAAGACGGTTCCATATCTAAAATTTCAACTTTACTCCAATTAAAATCATGATTTTTTTCTATTCTATGATAAGATTTTATGGATGGAGACTTAGAAGTGTTACG